GTAATATGAAAAGTCAAGGAAAATACACATACACATGGACATGCTATTAAAATTTAAATATATTAGGAAAGGATATTTTCTAAAATCATAAATTCAATTGATATCATAAATCATAAAATTGAATTGAAATTTTTTTGCTTGAATGTCAGCTTAACCAACGTTAATTCACACAAAGGATTTAATAAAATGTTACGATTATTAATAAAAAACGGCTATGAAAATCTCTTAAGGATTTTGCTTCGCACAGATAGAAAGCATCACAATATCTACAATGTTACGTTGCAAGTTTTGTATATTCGTTGACTCTTTCATTATTCATACAACATTATGTTTTATTACGCACAAGTTACATAGCTAGTTAAATAGCAAATTTTTCAAAATGCATTTTTTTACATCGATACTAATTTCGAATTACCCTCTTTCGCTAGTATGGGTTGCAGTGACATACGTGCATTAGTTTTCGAAATTAGCGTGGTTAAAATGAGGTCGAAATGAACAAAGAAAGGCTTAGTGCTTTCTTAGAGTGTTTATATTACAAAAATTGACATAGGGGTGAAACACAGTTGGTATTAGCAATTTTAACAATATTGCCCATTTTATACTAAGTGCACGACATTTTGTACAAATTTTATTATTTTTGTTATGTAATAAAAAATTAACTGACCTTTTTTCCCAAATTTTCAAACTTTCAAAACGCTCCCTTGCAAAATTTTAAATTTACTACTGAGTATATCTGTGCCCTTCACAATCGATATGTGAAAATGATTTCTATGCTTCTATAATTTAAAATCTCTTAAATTTTGTTTTGTTCCAACATTATTAATTCCATTTTATAATCATAATCATAATTTACTTGCGTAGTCCTTTCGATCTTTAAAATCGAAAACTAATTTTAAATATCAATTTGAAAATATTTCAAGATTTTTAGTTTATCTTGCTGTCCCTCTATACAAAAAATAACTCGAAACTTCTACAACTAATCGACTTACTCTAACTTACTCCTCAAAACTATTACTATGAATTACTAATAGCACCATATTTGTACCAATTAGGAATAGTAGATTCTTCCCTATCATTTTATAAAATAGAATATTCTCTGTTTAATAAAAACAAAAAATTAATATATAAGTAAAAAATGTATGATCAATTTTTTTTTTGTTAACATTATTTTTTTAGTCTCCCCCATATACTTGTAAAACGTTCTAAGAAAAGAAATAACAGTAATAACAGAATATATTTAGAAAGCAATATTTATTGTACTTAATATCCTTTTTACTGTATTGCTTTTTTACTTTTTCTTTGAACAACAAAAAAAGAAACAAATACAACTGTGGAACCAAAAGCAGTTACGACAGAAATAAAAATCCAACAGGCAAAAAAAACAAAAAAAATAATAAGAAAAAAGAAAATTTAAGGAATTTTTACCTTTAAACTAGTATAAAATTTATTGCCCAGGGAATAAAATGTAATGTACGAGTTATACGTGTGTATATTCTATAAGTACACATAAGTGGTTGATGCATAACCATTTAGACAACATTTTATATAACTAGTTATTATTTTAAAATATATATATATGTAAGTAAATTTCTATGCTTATTACATACAAATACCTGCACATGTGCTTTAAAAGTAAAATACGCTTCATAGCCAAACATTCTATATTACCTTATTTTATATTTTTGAATATGTGTATAAGAAAAATATATATGTACTTGTAAAATAAATTTTGAAAATGATATAAAAGATAGAAAATAGTTTTAAAATTACCTAAAAAGAAATAAAAAAAGGAAGAATCCTTTTTAACAGAAAAACACTAGAACGAGCATATCAACTAAAAGCAAAACTATTTCAAGATTTTATCTATCAAAATTTTTTCCTCTTATTTTATTTTTGTTTTCTACTTCGTTTTTTTTTAAGTGAATTTTATGTTTATCCCAAATATATATATATTATTTGTTTCAAAGGTATGAAAATGCCATTTATATACAAACACAACACCCATTAAATCATGGGACTAATATAAACTTAGAATTTTAGAATTATAAATATAAATTGTAAAATAATTCCGTAAAATAGATTTACTTTTAATAATGTTAAATTTAGGTATACATAATGTTACTCTTGAAGTCCAAATCCTTTATATATAAAATTGATTATTCTGTTATATTAAAATTAAAATGAAAAATGAAGCAAATCATCTAAATTATTTTACATCTTGTATGCAGTATTTCCGAATATAAAGATAATTAAATATAAAATTTCCTGGAATAATTTATCATTTATAAAATGAAAAATTAATATTGGTACAATAGTAAAAATATTAATTCTTGATATTATTTATTCAGCTCAGAGTGTCCTTGCCAGTTGAGAATATGGTTGAATATATTATAAACAATATAAAAAATTTTTATCGGTTCAATGTAATATTAATGAACTTCTAAAATATTTTAACAGAAAATATTAATTTTTGGTCTTTGTTAGTAGCTTTGCAGTTAGGGTTCTAAAATTTCTTAATGAAAAATTGTTTGTATGAGTGTTTGAGTGTCGTTTCTTAGATTATTAACTTTTGATGGATAAGAAAGTAGCTTTAATTTTTGTAATTATAGATTTGAAAAAAATTTGTCTATAAATAAGAAAGGTGACTTAATTTGATCAGTATTAGTTATTGATAAAAATTATAATAAATTATTATAAGATATATAGAATAAAACCCACTGGAAGTCGAATAGAGTGTCTTTCATCTAAATGATCTCTATTCAATTAATAAATGAATTTTGTAGGATATGTTAGAAGTTATTACAGAATTCGACAACATAAATAATTTTTCTAGTACTAAATTCCAAAATTGAACGCTTTAATAAAATATAAAATTTTATTAAACATTTGTCAGTCACGTCCTGCACGTCTTTTTATAGTATTTCTTAGCATTTTGAAATTAATAAACTAAATCAAAATAAGCTTAAAAATATTCTAATATAATTTTTTCTTTTTGTCTATTTCCTTAAAATTTAAATTTAAGTAAAATTAATTTATTTTTCAAGATTAGTGAGTGTAAATGAATAAGTGAAATGACCTATAATTTAATGAAATTTTTAGTCAATATACAAAATGCTTATAAGATTTTTTGTTATACGCAAAGAAATATTAAAATTTTCTTATACAAATTCAAGAAAAAATTTTTTTGAGCAAAATTCCTTGATAAAATAGTTTTATTTCTCAAGAAAGTTTTATTTTTATTTCTTTTTTAGGTGTATTAAAATATTTTTTAAGAATGAAGCGAATATTTTAGCATTTATTCAAATATTCAAGAAGTACATGCAATATAAAATGAAATACTTGTATTAAGGTATAATTATTATACTTATGCACTGTTAAGTAAAGGTTCTTATTTCCTTTTATAAAAGGAGCAAGAATTTATAATAAAGAAATTATTAATTTTTTAGTCAAACAAAACAAAAAAAAAATGTATTTAAAAAAAATGTAAATAAATAATTAAATTCCATTATCAATTAAATTCCATTATAAACAATTGCAAGCTGTTTCCAAACTTTAAAATTCTAAACATTATTTAGATTCAATTGTTTTAATTGAACCGGTCCCAAATACAAATGAATTTTTCATGACGTCTAAATAAATTTTGCTAAAAACGGAAATGCCGTCATTTCATAATAATTAAAATTTAATTTTTCATAAATAATTAAAATTTAAAGGAATTCTGACATCCGAATTTATCCCTATTTTACATACAATATATACATATACTACAATTCTATACCACCATAACAATATCCGTTGTACAATAAAAACCTTGGACGTAAATTTTTCAATGTTAAAAATTCCTCTCGTACGCATAATAATTTTATTTTATTATACAAAAATTTTTGTCATACCAAAATCCTGCAATAGAATATGCAAATATTACTTCCAAGCTACATTACATATACATATATAAACACAGAAGCACGTAAACATGATAATAAAATTTACGCAAAACATACGGAAAACATTGGTTTTTATTTTCTCTTTATGCAAAATTCATAATTTATTAAAAAAAATTTTTATATCTCACATCATTATTATATCTTGATATAATACAATCAAAAATGTAAATTAAAATTTTCAATATAAATATTTAGACCTATGCAAATTAATATTCTAATTTTTTGTTTCATTTTACATATACGATAAATGTTTTAATGTTAATTTACACCAATATGCATTGAATTATGCGAAATTAGAGGATTTTAAATAGAAATCTAAGTTGTCCTTAAAATAAAAATGTTATTTCTAATTTATTTTATTATTTAATAATTCTATAAAAAAAATTTTAAATAAAATTTAATATTATTCGTGATATTATTTTTATTCTATGATTTTAATTTAAAACTCATATTGCTATAACAACCTTTACTCTTTAATATCACAGTTCACTCTTTAAATTTAAGAAAAACCATGACAAAATTGTTGAAAGAGGAATATTCTCTCTCCCTGCATTATCAAGTTCAAGTAAGATAAAAAATAAAAATCACGCAATTATTAAAAAAAATATATTAATTTAGAAAAATTGCATACTTTTAGGCATTTAAAAATAATTTTCTCCAACAAAAGAATACTTTGAAATGGCAAGAAAATTTTAATAATAAAAATTTATTTCAATAAAAAGAAAAAAACAAAATCCAATGAAATATTTTGAAATAAAAAAAGATAAAAATGAAAATACCGAAAGGTTGAATAGGAAGACAATAACAATAACAAAAAAAAAAAAAATAATGAAAAATTGAAAAGGACGAATACTGAAAAATTTAAATTGAAACCTTTTACATTTTTGTATAACTTGTTGTTGTTGCCGTAAAGTGCCGCGAGACTAAAAACGAAAAGAAAATCAGAAAAAAAAATATTTTTTTCTCATCCTCTTCTTTTCTCATACTCTTTGAGTTCAATGGTTTTTATTTTATTTTTTTATTATTATTGTTATTATTATTATCATCATTCCTTACTTTTTTATTTCTTTTTTTTTTTTATATTAGATTTCTTTTCATTTTTTTTCCTCTACTTTTGCTATAGCTTTTATTTTATATCCTCTAAATTTTAAGGATTCAATAAATATTTATTTATTTTTTTTTTCTGAAAATGATTTTCACATTTTTTTTATTCTTTATGACAAAATAATAAAAAAATAAATAAATTTCACTTTCTTTTTAATTATTTTTTTTTTGTTTTTCTTTTTTTTATTGATGTTTTCTTTCTACCTTCAATTTATTTATTGTGTTTTCTATTTTAATTTTCTTTTCACATCCGTGTATTTAAAATTTTAATGTATTGAACACTATAGGAATGCGGAGTGTTGCAATTTTTTATTAGAAAGAAAAACAAAAAACAAAAACAATGTTGTACACAAGTTTTATTTTGTTTTCTTCTTTTTCTTATTAATTTTCAATATGCAAAAGAAAACATTTTCTCTCCTATTTTAGCACACATTAAATTTAAGTTGAATTTTTTTTTTTTCACATTTATTTTACCATTTTCCTTTAGAGATCTTAATACCTTAAAAGACCGGCGATAACTGGAACTCTCTGCAGATGATGAACCATATTTATATGCGGAAAATTTATTTTGTTATATTTTTGTTTTTTTATATTTTGTTTAATTTCCTTATTTTGATTTTTCTTAAAATGATTCTTTCTATTCTGTTTTATGTTTTACTGCATGCAAGTATGTGGAGATGAAAATGATAAAAACAAGAGAAACATAATTTTTTTTTATATTCAATAGACAAATGAAGAGAGAGAGAGAGAGAGAGCGAGAGAAAGATTTGAAGAGTATAAAAGAGATTTTATAAGGATAGCGCATGTCTATTTATTTATAACAGTTTCTTTTTTACACTAAAGTACTATAAGGTCCTCATTTTTTAATATTTAATAAATTTTTGTTGTGAATTCTTTAAATATTTTCTACTTTTGTTATTATACTCTTAATATTATTATACTTTGTTTTGTTTTTTTTTTTTTTAAATTAATGCAACTTTGTTGATAGTTTTTCACATATTTCTTTTGTGGTTTCTTTTAATTTTCGACGTTTTCTCAAATTTACTATTCTTTTTGGTACAGAAAAAATGTTCCTTATTTTATTTAATTAAAATTTAATAATTTTCTGTTTTGTTAATAATAAGTAATCGCATTTAGTTTTTGAGAATTCCTTATTATATTCTTATATATTTGTATTTTAAGAGAAAATGGCACATTATAGTAAATTCAAAGTGAAATATACCTTTGTCATAGTTTAGATCACACGTGTCGTTCCATTAGATTTTCGCAAATCCATGTTTTAAAAGTTCAACGTTCGTTAATAAAAAGTCTTAGTATTTTCAAAGGAACTTATTGAAAATAAATGAATTGCAATTGATTATGCGAATGATGCGTGCATAGTTTCAACAAATATTTTTCACGTGTAGAACGTAAAATATATTTTGCATTATGACATTCTAGCTTCAATTTATTATGATTATTATGAAATGCTCGTCATGATGTCTGTTGATTCACAAAATATAAAAAAATACTTAATCGTATTTTTCACAATTTTTCAAGTGTCATTTAGGTTTTTTTCAAAAATATTTACAAATTACATTGGTTTCACTCGATTTTTCCATGACTGTAATTATTATGAACACAAACAAAATAGAATTAAAGAATTATTTCTATATAATTTTCTCTCTCAAAACAGGATAACAAGTAAAAATTCTCTTAAAATAATTATCATATTAAAACAAAAAGAAAAATGATTTCCCTGTATGAGAATTTTGAGAAATTCTTTGCATAGACGGATAAATGGCAATAATATCTAAGATTAAAAAAATGTTTTGTTTATAGAAAAATTGAAAACACAGTAAATTTATGTCCTTTTTTGAGCATTATTGATATTCAAATAATATTGCTGCACCATTCAAGTTAATTATTAAAAAATTATTGGTTTAGCACATGAAAATATTATGGATGAATAAAATGACAATAATACGGATTTTGGAACAGTTTATTTATGTTATAAAATATTTTACTTAATTTTATTAATCCTGTTAAAATTTACACTATATTCTCTTGTAAAAAAGTGAGATATAAAGATTAATTTTTATAATGTACAATTTGTTCCAAACAAATGTAAATGCAAGTCAAAAGTCGAAAACAATAATGTCCTGATTAAAAATATTATTCGTAATATTATTAAACATCAAGTTTATGGAATAAAGTGATTCAAATCTCAATTTTGGACAGGATAATCTGTACTATACGTCAGATTGTAATTTCAATGCAAATGTTTTACATTGAGCACATCCTCGATCATTGATTTAAATTATATTATGAATAATGAAAGAAAAAGGAAAAACATGTAAATTTTTAAAATTTAATTTTCATTATTGACAAAATATTATTTTTAAAACCAATAATCAGTCTTCTATATATTATGCAAATTACTTAATAATTTAAAATTAACTTACTAATTATAAAATTAATAGTCTATAATCGAGATTCGCAAATTAATCAATCTATGAATAGAACTTGAATGAAAATTTCATGAAAACTAGTTTTGTTATTCATAGTCCTCCATAAATTTGCGAGATTTAATTGAAATATTCAAAAAAATCATTAAAATTTGTAAAGCACAGGGCATAAGAGAGGGCTCAGAAACAATGTTGTCTAACCCTCATTTCTAAAATTTTTGCTTTTTAGAAATGTATATAAAATTAGAACCCAAATTTAATTTTATCGACAAAAAATTGAAATTTTTCTTATATTTCGTATTTTTTTTTTGTCTTAAACCTAAAATTTAATTTTTTCCAGTGTGAAAGTGCCCTTACCCAGATATTGTGGGCAAAAATTTTGCGAGTGAGGGTTAAGTCACTTTGCTTCTGAGCACTTCGAATAAATAATACTGAAGAGCAAGCTCTAAATTAAAATATGATAAATTAATGATTTCTAATATTTTTTACGATATTTGAATATTCTATTAATAGTACATAGTATTTTCTTCATACCACAGAATGAATACTTTTACAAAAATACCATTTAAATTTTAAAAGTAACTACATTGAATATACATATATACACATACATAATTATTTTAAAAATAATGTTCTTTTAATGATATATATATATACAAATATTATAGTATTTTTATATGACTTTCGTAAATTACCCTCATTACAAGAACACTCTTATAAATGACCATCATTTGACAGATATTATTTTATTAAATGGTACTTATATTATAAATATAAAAAAATCCTAATATATTTTATGTATTACTTACGTATATATAAGTATTTACAAACAAATATTCGATATCCGTAAAGGAATAGTTTCCTTAAATAATAAAATGTTAAAAAGGAATTGCCAAAAGATTTTTATATAAAATAAAAAAATAAATATATGAAAAAACAAAGTGAAAATATTTTTATATTCTGAAGACAATGTCATGTGTTCTATTTGAAAAAGTAGAAAAATAAAAATAAAAATAAATAAAAAATAACTTGTAAATGCATTTTATAAAATAAAGTAAAACAGAAATTACTTCAGGTCATTTATCAGCTCAAAAAATACACTTATATTATAACAGTAAGTAAGAATAAGAAAATAAAGAAATTTCTCCTCTATAATGTATAACATTTAAAGCATCACCATAAATTTATAATAATGTGTATTTTATAGTAGCAGCAACAGGATTGAAAGAATAAACGAACCAGATTTCTATAAGTATTTTTCATTGACAGCATACTGAATGCAATTTATACCGGAAGGTATTCTAGAATGTTTTTTATTGCTTATTTTTGTTTTTTTTGCAAAATTTTATAATCTTAAAGTTATTTTGACTGCGGGCGATCTGTTTTTAGAATTTATATAAATTTTTTTTTATGACTCTTATATTTTTTTGTATAAACGTAAAAAAAGGAAATTAATATATAAAACTTTCACAGTTTACTTACAGGATATAGGATGCAGTTTATTTTATTTTATTTGAAAATTTTATTTTTTTTCTTTTCTAAATTCTTCTACCCGTATTTACACATACATACATATTATAGTCATAAAATTTGTGTACATTTTTAGAAATATGATTTTATATGAAATTTTTCAAAAAAAAAAAAAACCCCAGAATACAAAACACTATAAAAGCCATATTTTAAGCGATAAATAAATAAAGGATAGTTGTAATTTTAAGGATTTTTCTCCTATTTTATCTGTTTTTTTATCTTCTACATTTTTTTTTGTTCTTCGTTGTTTTTGTTTTGGATTCCTATGATGTGTTATTTCTATAGAAATTGTGAAAAATATTATTTAAGATTTAGCTATACTTATATAACTTAAATATTATTTACAAAAGGATTTATATGAAAAGTCAAAAAAATTGATGAAATTTTAAATAAAGGATATGCAATAGTTATAGAAAAAGGATTAAAAACATTTAAAATGAATTCTAGTATGTAAACCGCTTAAAATTTTAATTAATATTTTGTTTAAACAAAAAGAATCGCCATTTCTTTTTTTTTCTGAAAAGTAGAAAAAAAAATTTTTTTAAGCACATAATACGAGAACATTAAATATGAAAATCATAAAGTTTTTAAGATATTTAGGAAACCGTTCTATATTTGCAAATATGGAAAAGGTTTTGTTTCTGACACAATATTTAAAAGAATAGATGCGAATAAAATCTAGATATTTCAACTTACTTACTTACTAGTAGAAAACATAAACTGTTACTTAATAAATAGAATGGGGTTCGATCTAAGTACGGTATAAACACGATAAATTGTCTTTCAGAATTATTAAAAAATGTACTCAAATTAGCTGAGATCCCGTTCAAAAATATAATATTATTATAAGAACTATTAAAAAAGTTTTTATTTTTTCGTTTTAGAAAATTTGAATGAATTGTAAAAATTATAAAACAAGGGAAATTATGTGATGGTATGAAATTTTACATGCGAAGTTTTCGGCGGAAATGCATTTTTTCATGCTATATAAACTATTTTTAGAGATGGACGATTTTTATATGGTTTTTATATGATCAAAATGTCTCATCTTAATTAAAATGCAATCTTCTATAAATTAAACAACTACACGTTGTATTAGTAATTCAGTATACTAGTGTAATAGGCACAATACCTATATTTATATAATATATGTTCGTGTGATTGTATGTTTCAAATAGAAGTTTACATGTAGCATCTCAATGTAAACAATACTTAGTAATCATGTGGATTACAGTATAAAGCAATGTAAAGAGCAATTCGTCGGCAACTTCTTCATAGCGGTAGGTCACTAGTTCGAAGTTTCTTAGAAAGCGGTAGGTCACTAGATCGAGTCCAGTTCGAGGAGAAAAATTTTTCAATTTTTCTGCATTTAATTACGTTCCTTTGATTACGTCATCCATCTCTTCTGCACATGTTTGAAGAAATTTCCATTGAGTTAATATTACTAGCATCCCTAAAATTTGAAAAAAGTGACAGTTTGATATTATCTTGTGCAACATTTTTGGTAAACTAGACAATACACCTTGTGATC